GCTATGTGGATGGAATGTGAAAGCCTGCAGTACAATTTGTGGAAAAGTACAGACATAAGATGGAGTTGAGGGTCATATGAGCAAGTTACATGCCCTTGCATGGATTGCTAACTCACAGGGGCAAGTCACTAGCCACTTGGGCTGTGTCTAGACTACACTTCTCTGTCAACAAAGAGATGTAGATTAGGCATGTCGAAATTGCTAATGAACAGGGATTTAAATATCCTGCGCTTCATTAGCATAAACTTCATTTTTTGAGGAATACAGGATCTTTCAAAAAAGGGTTTATTTTTCGAAAGATCCCTGTCTAGACTGCCGGGGGTCTTTTCGAAAAAGCTCAGTTTAAAAAAAAAGTGGTGGCCATATTTATGCTAATGAAGCATGGGATATTTAAATTCCTACTTTATTAGCAATTTCGATGTGCCTAAGCTACATCTCTCTGTCGACAGAGAGGTGTAGCCTAGACGTACCCTTCGATACAAAGCAAATGCAGAAAGAGCCATCTGGGCAGAATGAATTTCTTCTGTGGCCCATTGTGAGAGTTAATTGTCTTTGACGAGCCAACAACAAAAAGCTCTCTTGCAGCAATGCAGATTTTATCTGGTGAGTTACCCCAGGATCAAACACATTTGAAATACTGTTACATAGTAGCCCTAAATAGCCATGAAGGCACAAAGATATGAAGAGCTCATTTATGGGTCAAATGGGCACTACAGGCAGTCCCCGGGTTAAGTACAAGATAGGGACTGTAGGTTTGTTCTTAAGTTGAATTTGTATGTAAGTCGGAACTGGTACATATTGTAGGGGAAACTCTAGCCAAACATTTCTCCAGAGCTCAGTTTTATTCTCCCACACCTCACTTCCCTCCGTCCTTTATTCTCAAGATGAGGTGTCTGCTGAGAAAAGCCACTCTGCGTCTCCCTGGTCTGCTGGGGAGGGGCGCTAGCTTTGCGTCTCCTTGGTCTGCTGGGGGGAAGCAGCTAGTGCGGGGTTGCCTCACCCCGTTTGTAAGTAGGGATCTGATGTAAGTCGGATCCATGTAACCCGGGGACTGCCTGTACTACCAAAAATCTGCAATCAAAACTGCATGGGATACAAATACCTCTGAAGGGGAGAGCTATGGGGAGACACGTCTTAAAGATCTGCTGAAAATAGCCTCTCTTTCTGTTAGCAAGAAAATTCCCAGAGCTTTTTGGGCTCTATAGCTGCAAAGTACAATGACTCTGAGCAACCTAGGAAGGGGGTCTGACCTGGCCTCACACTGTTGGAATAGAAAGTCTATGCAGAGTTAAGCAGCTTTCCACCCCACTGCTCCTTTATATTTTCATGACCTTTGAAGAAAAATTAGAAGCACGTTTGGAGGAAACCTAGAGGGATGTAGATAACTAGAAGGGATATGAAATACTTGCATGTGTGGAAGATATGCAGAGACCTGAAGGAGAGGAAGACTGGATTTAGAGGGGCCGAGAGATGAAAAGAGCTTTAGAGATGAGTTGAGGAAGACAAAAGGGAAGAATTTTGAGCATTTAGAGTGTCAAAAGAGAAAGGGATCCCTTAAAAAGCCACCTCAGCTACACAGAGGAAGATTTATCACTCCTCCTTGAGATGATACAAAAGGAGGATGTCTGCCTTAGAAGATGTGCTAATTTAAAATGCCTCCATTATCTCATAGACAGAGTGCAATTTATTCAGTGATTATCTGAATTTACCTCAACTTCTCAACCGTTTCTGTGGCCTGGACTCAAAGCAGTCCCAGATGGCAAGGTTGTGAGTTACTTGCAATGTACAACAGTGAGGTAACCCCCATGCAGAGTGCCTACTTCCAAACCAGGAAGTAAAACTCAAAGTTCGATGCTGTATCCTTATACACATGTTTATTTGTTGAATATTGCAAATTATTTGCATGTCTGTTTCTTTAAAATGGATCTCCAAGCATTCGTGTCAACTGTCTGAGACTATATCTGAAGAAGCTGTCATTCAACAGTGGAGCAAGTGTCTTCATCCATAGATTCGTACCTGAATATATGTGAATAATTTCACATTCAGACAACCACAAGTAAATATATTATGTTGATCATTGGCCTACCCACCAACATAGAGCTTGTAGCCATCTATGATCAACGACATTTGGTGGGTTTTATTCTCGAGGGTGTAATTAAAATTAGAACAAAATACAGGACTATGTAGCGCTTTAAAGACTAACAAGATGGTTTATTAGATGATGAGCTTTCGTGGGCCAGACCCACTTCCTCAGATCAAATAGTGGAAGAAAATAGTCACAACCATATATACCAAAGGATACAATTAAAAAAATGAACACATATGAAAAGGACAAATCAAATTTCAGAACAGAAGGCGGATGCGGGGGGGGAGGGGAAGGTAAATGTCTGTGAGCTAATGATATTAGAGGTGATAATTGGGGAAGCTATCTTTGTAATGGGTAAGATAACTAGAGTCTTTGTTAAGACCCCGGCGTAAAGTGTCAAATTTTAGCATGAATAAGAGTTCAGAGGATTCTCTTTCAAGTGCAGTCTTAAAAGGCTTTTGAAGCAGAATGCAGGTAATTAAGTCGTTGAGACAATGTCCTTTCTGGTTGAAATGGCAAGAAACTGTTTTTTCTTTGTGATCCTGTCTAATATCTGTTTTGTGGGCCTTGATCCTTTGGCGAAGTATCTGAGACGTTTGTCCAATGTACATAGCAGACGGACACTTTCGGCACATGATAGCATAAATTATATTTCTGGATGCGCAGGAATATGTGTTCTTGATCTTATAACTCACTTGGTTGGGTCCAATAATGGTATCAGCAGAGTGAATATGTGGACAAAGCTGGCAACGGGGTTTGTTGCAAGGGAAGGTACCACGGTTGGTATTAGTGTGGTATGTCCTGTGGTGGTTGGTAAGAATCATCTTGAGGTTAGGTGGTTGTCTATAGGAGACTATGGGTCTGTCTCCCCGAGCCTCTTGGAGTTTAGTATCCTGTTCCAGTATAGGCAATTAGTATTGCTTCCATGAGGTATGCCCATGCTTACCAGCATGACCAGGTCATTATTGGGGGAGTACATAGGCTTTTACGCTTCTCAGCCAGGGTCGAGGATCTGGATTACAATTTTTAACCTGACAGAATCATATTAAAGTTGCAGCAGCATGAACACGGCCTTATGTTTCTTTTAACTTTATTTAATACTATAAAATTACTTCAAACTCCCATTCATTTATAACATTTTTTAGTTAGGGAGCAGATGTTCAGCATTGTTATACAGAGCACCCAAACTAAACATTACAAAAATGCAGTCTGATGACATTCACTGTTAGATATTATAGCAAACTGTTGGGTTTTTAAACATGATTTTGGCCTTTATTTTGTTGTTTGAGAGAGTAGAATGGTAATCTGTAAATATGAGTAGCATATGCTGTAGATGTACAGAGTATTCACAGTGAAAGCTGCTGCCACGTGAGACTCTTCTGGTTTCAGGTTTTGCCCTTTTTAAAATTGGACCATTTACTCCAAAAGATTCAAAAATCTTTCAAATTATCCTTAATTTATTTTGAATGAACTTGGTTCACTTTTCAGTAGAATTAGCCTGCTTTGTAGTTTTGCCCTTGAAGCCATGTGACATTTGTGAATTTACCTGATTTTGACACAAACCAGGTGAAATTTGATATTGAGATCTAAGTTTTGCTTTGGGCTATTGGGTTGATGTAAGTCATCCCAGAAACTCAAGGTATAACTTAAGTGTTGAATACCCCGAGATTATCTCCGAAGATTATCTCTGTTTCCACTAACTCCTGAAAAGTAAAACAAATGATTTTTACAGCCCTCTATCCATTACTATCACCAATCTTAGAAAAGTGCAGTAAAGACAGGACTTGCTCATGTGTTGCAAGAAAGATATGAGTTGAGTAAATTCACAGTGTCTGATATGAAGCTGATAAATTCATTTTATTTAAGAGCAATATCCTAAAATCACATAGAGGTAGCATGGCGTGAAAATAAAAATCCATTAGATAAAATGAAAAAGAAACAGAGCTTGATAATGAACCAAGCCTGATAAAGAGAAGCCTCAGGAGGGTAGCACTATTCATCTGTAACTTTAAAAATGAGTAGTCATGTAGCACCTTTAGGGTGCATCTACACTGCGCCCATAGTTCAAAATAATCTATGCAATTTGAGCTATGCAAATTGCATATTTTATTGTGTAATTTCAAAATAACCCACTATTCCAAAATATCCTTTACTCCTCATGGAACAAGAGTTACAGGGATGCCGGAATAGAGAGCCAGTTATATTTCAAAATAATGGGCGCACCTTCAAGATACAAGATAGCTATTTCAGGATACCTCTATTATCCCAGAATAACGCTACAGTGTAGATGTAGCCTTAGAGACTAACAAAAATATATAGTATCTTGAGCTTTTGTGGATAAGATCCACTTCATCAGATGAGCTGGAGTGGAGAAGCAACTGAAGATATAATCTGAGATTGAAGAGAGTGCCTTATGATTTCCAAAGTGAAAAACAAGGCCAGAATAATAAAAAAAGTGCCTAGAATACATATTCCCATAAGTCTAGTGTTGTTACTGGTCAGTTATGTAAATTAACAAATTAGCATTGTCAGTCTTGAAGCCCTGTGGTAAACGTATGGCAATGCAGTTACACTTTCTTTTGCACACTCATGCACTCAAGTACAGTGGCAAAAAATAGAATACAGCTGTGACTTATGTAACATTCCGTGGCATATTTGCAATGCTGGATGGTCAGTTTCAGAGGGAGCATTGCATTTTTTGTGGTCTTTGCCATGTATAGCAATGCCAGATACTCAGCTGATGTGAACTGACATAATTTCAGTGAAGTCAATGGAACTATGACAGTTTATACCAGTGTAGATTTGACCCTCTATATCCTATCCCTTTTAGAGTAAGATATTTTATTTTTCACTCTAATACAGTCAATTTTTATGACTTACTTACATTATTTCCTTCTCCTTTTCACTAACACAGATAACTGGTCTGACTGGTCTGATTGGTCTGATTGTGATTCATCTGGAATCCAGTTCCGCGTGCGTCAGTGTATCATTTTATTTCCTGTGGGCAACCAGTGTTCTGGAAACACCACTGAGAGTCGAGCTTGTGTTTTTGATTCTAACTTCATACCAGGTAGGATTCTTTACTTTTAAAGAATAAGTGAAATCACTCACAACATTTAAAGAATGAGGCCTAATGCTGCCCTCTACTGCAGAGTGCAGAAGGGAGCCAAATTACAGACATGATGGAAGCTGCCTTGAAGGGATGAAAGCTGTCCAGGTGCATAAAACAGCTGTGCAGTATACTTCTCACTCTACCACTTCTTCACCATTTGAGAGAAATGTAGCTATCCCAAACTCACGCTATTCATGCTTTACTGACCTAATCATGTCCCTTTTAAAGTGGTTTCAGAATTAAAAGAATACTGAGTTTTGAGAGCACAGTAGGCATGGCCAGTCCCAGGCATATGCAAAGTGTCCAACCACACAAAGTCTCTTGTTTGTATACTGCCCCTTTTGGGGGCAATTGTTTCCCAAAGTGCACACATGGCACCTTCTATCTTGAAAGATGGATTGTGATGGGATAAATTATATAGCTATCAGCCTCATATCAATCCCAAGCAAGATAATGAAGCAGCTGATACCGAACTTGATGATCAAGAGGGGGATAATGTAATTAATGCCAAACATGGGTTTATCGAAAACAGCTCCTGTCAAACTAAATTGATATTTTTAATGAAATTACAAATGTGGTTACTAGAGGTAATAATGTTTGATGAAATATATCTAGACTTCTGTACAGTATTTGACTCAGTACTACACAACATTTGCAAACTTTGCATATATTAAATGGATGAAAAACTGCCTAACTGGTAGGTATACAAATATACTTGTAAATAGGTGATCATTATCACATGGGTGTTTTTGTAGTGTTGGTATCACAGGAATTGGTTCTTGGCCCTACAGTATATAACACTTTTCTTGGTGATTTGGAAGAAAATATAAATTGATGAAGTTTTCAGAAGACAAAGAGATTAAGGGTGTGGTAAATAATGATGAGAACAAATCACTGATGCAAAACAATCTGGATTGCTTTGCAACCTAGGTAAAAGCAAACATTATACACTTTATTATGGCCAAATGTAAGGTTTTACATGTGGAATCAAGAAACATAGGTCCTACTTATTAGATGGGGAACACTATCCTGGGAAGCAGTGACTCTGAAATAGATGTGAGGGTCATGGTGAATAATCTACTGAACATGAGCTCCCAGGGTCACACTGTGGCTATAAAATAAGGAAACCTTGGGTAAAAGTAGGATGATTATCTTATATTTGGTATGGATGCAACCACTAATGGAATATGATGACCAGTTCTGGTATCCACAGTTCAAGAGGGTTGTTGATGAACTGGAGAGGGTTCGGAATGATTAAAAATAGGAAAATATGCCTTATGGTGACAGAAAGAAGGAACTCAGTGTGTGTTGCTTTCACGTGGAGAAGGATAACGATGACTTGATCTAGTCCATGCATACCTATAAGTGGGAAAAAATGATAATAGAGAGCTTTACAATGTAGCACAAAAAGGTATAATGAGATCTATTGGCTAAAAATTTAAACCAGATAAATTCAGAGAGGAAATGAATTTTTAACAGTGAAGGTAATTAGCTATTGAAACAATGAATTATAGGTTGTGGTGGATTCTCCATTTGATGGGAATTTAAAATCAAAATTGGATTTTTTTCCCAAAAGAGCAGCTCTAGTTCAAACTGGGATTAAATCAGGGACTTTCTATCTTACTATATATTTTAGAAATGTCTGTCTGTGTCTGTCTGTAAGTCTGTGTGTTCAAGAACTCCTCCTAAATGGTAAGAGCTAGGTCCATCATATTTGGTGTGCAGCTTCCTGTTATCATAGCTTAAAATAAGATCAGGGTTTGGTTGTACTAGGACAATGGGATAGACCTGGAATTTGATTGTTTCTCATAAAACGGAAAAGGAGGAGGCTAGTAGGAATGACAATTATAGTGCAGAATGCCTACAGAGGGCAGCAAGGTGCCAGAGATGGGGACCTGGACAGCTATAACCCCAAGGAGCCAGCAGGGGGTAGGGGTGAAGAAAGGGACAGTTACTATGATTTATTTCAGAGAGTTTGTCTGTTTGTGTTTCTGTCTGTCCCCCAGCTGGGGGATATGAACCCCTCCCCAGGCAGTGCTGTAATGATCATGGACAGGAGCTTCTCGCTTGGCCACAAGTGCTGTGCTGAGAGAGGGCTGGGGTTTTCCTCTGTCCCCTGGACAGCCTGTATACTGAACCCCTCATCCCTACCACTACCCACAGAGCAATGATTTCAATGAAGAAAAACAAAACTTATTTGAGTTAAGGACCCAAACAACTCTGGATAAATCTTCTAGTACAATATGAAGGAGTTCAGACTTGATGATGATTCACAGTGATTTTCTGGCCTTAAAATCTATGAGCCTATGAAACCCTCCAAATAGCAGAAATTAAGTCCCTATGCATACTTAATACAGTGAGTAATAACAGTATCACAAACAAGAAAACCTTCTGAACTATATTGGTCAATAATCCTGACAACCTTCGCAAGATGACAAAGTTTTCTTATATATTTGATGAACAATAACACCAAATTTTAAATTGGTTTGTTCAACATGAGTTCACACCTACCTGGGAGTGCATTACCAGACTAATATGAAATAGGAGCATATTTAAGAAGGGTAGATATTGCTTTGATGGCCACCCTGAACTTCATAAACACTTATGTAAAATTCCTACAGTACTTAATAAGGGTGAAATCAATACGGTTCTGTAGAAATTAAATATAATTCTATACATATTTTTCTGCAAACCCAAGAGAATTTAACAGGAAGCTATATCCTAGCACTCTTAAAATAAGCTTTAGGGTGAGATTCTTGGGATGTTAAATTTAGATTAATTGGATAATCAAATAGTCAATGCCTCTGCCTTTGGTACACTTCAAAGGTGAAAGTGCTGTAGGGAGCATGAGGCCAGCAGGGAACTCAAGCAGTCCCCGCTGGCTCCATGCTCCCCACAGCATTTCAAAGCGCCAGCACCAAGTGAAGCCCAGGGTCAGCAGGGGACCCCGCTAACTCTGGACTCCATGTGGTGCTGCCACTTTGAAATGCTTCATGCAGACTCCCAGCTGGCCACAGGCTCCATGCAGCGTTTCAAAGCGGCAGCACCACATGGAACCCAAGGTCTGGCCTGGGCTCCACACGGTGCTTGCTGCTTTGAAGCATCCCCTCCTCTTCATCCCCTCCCCTCCCCTCCGATGCCTCTTTCTGATGGGGGGGGAAATTGGCTAGTCAACTAGTGTGTCAACTGTCCGATAAGCATTTGCTTATCGGATAATCAACTGGTCATTCACTAGAAACCTGCTCCTGCTCCCATTTAAGGTAATGAGAAAACTCCTCTTGACTATGGTGCAGCAGGGACAAGCCTCAAATGCAGGACAGAATGGGTGACAAGGTTAGTTTTAATCCATCTTTATCCCTTCAAAATTCTAATCCCTAGGACTGTTTTAAGTCTCAGTAAGTTATTCTGAGATATTCTGGTAAATTCTGTGAGCCTACAGCTTGGTCAACATTACCAAGTTATGTCTGTATAACTGTGTCACTCAGGGGTGTGGCTTTTCCACAGCCCTTGTTGATCTAGTTATACCTACCTAGCCTCCAGTGTAGACAGTGGTATGACCATGGGAGGGCTTCTCCTGTTGACATAGCTCTCAGTAAGGGTACGTCTAGACTACATGCCTCTGTCGCCAGAGGCATGTAGATTAGGCTACCAGACATATTAAAATGAAGCGGCGATTTAAATAGTCGCCGCTTCATTTAAATTTACATGGCTGCCGCGCTGAGCCGACAAACAGCTGATCAGCTGTTTGTCGGCTCAGCGCGATAGTCTGGACGCGCGGGTGTCGACATCAAAGGTATTTGTCGACCATCCAGGTAAGCCTCCTGGGATGAGGTTTACCTGGGTGGTCGACAAATACCTTTGATGTCGCCACCCGCGCGTCCAGACTATCGCGCTGAGCCGACAAACAGCTGATCAGCTGTTTGTCGGCTCAGCGCGGCAGCCATGTAAATTTAAATGAAGCGGCGACTATTTAAATCGCCGCTTCATTTTAATATGTCTGGTAGCCTAATCTACATGCCTCTGGCGACAGAGGCATGTAGTCTAGACGTACCCTAAAATGGAATACCTATGCTTACAGGAAAAGCTCTCCCATCAGTGTGGGTAGCATCTTCACTAAGCACTACTGTGGCACATTAAGTGTGGACAAGCCTTAAGCTATAAGGGAAATAGTCGGACAGCAGTATTTCAAGAAAACTTTGTAAACTTTATAACTTTGTAAATGTTAACATATTCCTCCTCTAGAATTAGATGTGAGGTAGGTGTCTACTCACCTACTCACCTTAAACCACATAAGTATGTAAGTAGACTATTGAGAATGATGTATACAAATGGGATACTTCATACAGGTCTGGGATTTCCCCAAGTCCCTTTCCTGCTCATCTCTTTTGTTTTGGTCAGATTTGTGGATATTATTTAGTTTAATAAGACAATATTCCACTAACCCAGTCTTGAAAAATTGTCAAGAAATGTATGCATTAGAGCATAAAATTTACTCACTTTGCCTTTACTGTGCGGATTGATGATGATGGTAAATTAATAATACTTTGTTCATCAGAAAATAACTCCACTCAGGAAAAGAATTAAGTTGAATTTTGAAAGATCTTTTAACCAAACAGTCTTGTACTTCATAAAACAGGACTATGTAGCACTTTAAAGACTAACGATGGTTTATAGGTGATGAGCTTTCGTGGGCCAGGACACATCTTTTCATATGTGTTCATTTTTTTAATTGTATCCTTTGGTATATATGGTTGTGACAATTTTATTCCACTATTTGATCTGAGGAAGTGGGCCTGGCACACGAAAGCTCATCACCTATAAACCATCGTTAGTCTTTAAAGTGCTACATAGTCCTGTTTTTTGTTTCAGCTACACCAGACTAACACGGCTACATTTCTATCACTATTGTACTTCATAGGCACTGGAAATTTCCCAGCCTTTCTATCTGGACATGCTAG